AACACAGACAGGATTTTCAATTCCAAAGATGCTTCTGCTGCTCTTTCCTCTCCCTGCTTATCCCACCTATGTCCCTGATCATTCTTCTGACATTAAATGGAGACATAGTCACTCCATCTTGGAGAAACGAGAGGCACAAATTAAGTACAGTTCGGTGCTAGAGCAGGGCTTGGCTCACTGACACAGTGTTTAGCATGCTGCTGAGGTATTTAGAATAGAATTGCTTGGTACAATTTTAAGAGACAGTTTATTCATCTAAACAGCAAGCGTATGTAGAAGAGGGTCTGAGATTGACATCTTTGGGATTAGTTTAGCCCTGCATTTTTTCCAGAGGTCGTTGTCATGGTGCCCAGGAGGTTTGTAGAATAAATGGGGCCAGCGTACTTCTCAGGTCCACATGCTAAAAACTAATACATAACGTTTAATTTACTGTCTTGGTAGCTAGCCCAGCCATTTCTCAGATAATAATATTGGATTAGAGTTACTTGCAAGGGTGGATGGGAAAGTAGGCAGGCTGGTGGGATCTAATTGAACCAATGAGAGTTTGTGGTGGTCGTTCCTTGATGCATAGTGAGTGGCTTGTGGATTTTTATTTCTACACTGAACAGAATGGAAAAGGGAACTGTCTTTAACTCCTGCCTTCAGGGTGCTCCATACATCCTTAAAAAAAAAGATGGAAAAGATTTATATTACAACTGGTGTCCTCCTTGATCTCACATAATATTGTCCTGATCATTAAAGTATGGAGAGTAAGATTCCATGCATTAGTTTAGAATCACATTTTGCAACCTTAGTGCTTTAAGATCAAACGATGGACACATTTTTGCAAGGTGGGGCAGTTTTTAAGAAGTATCTCTTTCCAGCATAATAAAGCAGAATATGTGCTCCCAAAATAGCTTTAATTATTTAATAAAATTTTATATCTTCCTTCAACATAATTTTATGGCATTTTGCTGTGAAAGATAAGCATAAAAATATATGAATATAAAACAAATGGAAATAACATTAGTTAAAATCATGGAGAAACTTTTTTCTTGCAAATTGATGACTTTATTTCAAAGGGCAAGTACTTTCAGCCCTCTAATCTGAGCTGATTTTGAATCATCCAAGAAAAGATTATAAATCCAAACTCAACTGTAAGGCTGCCTTAAGTTTAGTGAAGGACAAACTACTTAGCTTTTGCAGGTTACACATCTGCCCAGAGAAATCCTAACGGAATAGGGATTTCCTAGATGCTAAAATAGGCCATTAGTCAGCAGCATGCACATTTAAAATTGTTCACTACTTAGCAGGACTCCTGAGCTTATTTTACAAAGCTCAAATGGTTAGGTAGGGAAGAAAGAATGGTGCAAATATAGAGTAACTACTGAAGTTGTTACAGTAGCAATTCCAGTGGTATGTTAATTGTGGTATAAAATGAAGACTTGACAGCAACCCAGTTAGATTACCCTGCAACAGGCCATGGCTTTTGCGAAGGTTTTTTAAAACTCCAACCAGCCATGTTTTCTGGGTTTGGACAAGATGATAAGCTGCAGCTGTGAGTGATTATGCACATTGCATCCTGTATGCACCCCAGCTCAAAACAAGTCACCATGGCTTCTTCTGATCCTGCAAACTTGCTCAGTCTCTACACAGAAGACACACATTCTATAGTTGACAAGAAAGAAAGAAATGGCCAAGAATGGCAGCACCACATGGCATCCTTTAGTGGCTTCTGGGATCACAAAACATTTCCTGTGTCATTAACTAGACAGTCAAGCAGCTGTCATTCAATTCAAGTAACCTCCCTTTTGGACTGTGAGAATGCTGTGGGCCCATGTTTGGACAAAGTGCTCCTTGATATTCTGATCAGCAAACTAGCTAATCAGACTGGGCTAGGTGGAGCAACTATCAAGTGTATCCACATTTGGTTACAGAACTGGACTCAAAACAGTGCTTATTAATGGCACCTTATCAGATTGGGAAGAGGTTACAAGTGGGGGCACTACAGGGTTCAGTCCTGGGTCCTGTGTTTCTCAACATTTTTATTAATAATTTGGATGAAGAGGTGCAAGGAATACTTATCAGATATGCAGAGGGCACAAAATTAAGTGGGATAAGTAATATTCTGGAAGACAGAAACAAAATTAAAAGTGATCTTGATAGGTTGGAGTGCTAGGCTGAAAGCAACAAAATGACATTCAATGGGGCAAATGTCAAGTTCTGCACTTAGAAAGAAGAAAACAAAGAAACCAGTGTTACAGGATGGGTGATACAAGTGAGAAGGATCTTGATATTGTTGTAGGTACCATTGAATATGAGCTGCCATTGTGATATTGCTGCAAAAACAAATAAATGCTGTTTTGGGCTACATTAAAAATATCACTTCCAAATCACATGCAGTACTAGTTCCCCTCTAGGTTCTGGTCACCACAGTTAGAGAAAGATGTAGACACACTGGAAAAACTTCAGATAAATGAAACAAAGATGATCAAAGTATTGGAAACAAAGCCTTGTTAGGAAAGACTGAAAAAATTGGGCATGTTTAGCTTGCAGAAGGAAAGACTGAGGGAAGCTAGGAAAGCACAGTTTGAGTACTTTAAAAGTTGTCACACAAAGGAGAGCCAGGATCAATCCTTGATAATTGCAGGATGCAGGGCATGGAATCATGCCCTCAAGTTACAGAAATCCAGATTCCAGCTCAATATGAGGGGGAAAAAACTTCCTTACTGTTAGAGTAGTATGGCAATGGAACCAGTTTACCTATGAAGGTTGTGGACTCTCCTAAACTGGAGGGATTAAAAGATGCAGCTGGAGAGCCATCTGTTAGAATGCTTAATTTAAAGACCTTCACTGAGCAAGGGTTTGGACCTGGTAGGCTTATAAGCAAGTTCCAACTCTACATTCTTATGATTCTGTTTGCCACAATGCCCTACAATAACAACTTCAGGATATTTAAATAAGGGCTGGCTCCTAGTATTAATAGTGGGAGAAATGTTACTGATCCCTGATAAACCTGTTGGGATTAACTAAGTTACTGTACTGAGTTACTATATGATAACAAATTGATTCCTGGCTTGCTTTACTTTTAGAATGAAACTAGGTTCTGCTTGAGTTTAAGTTGTTTCTTTTTTTTCTTTTTTAGGCAGGGTTAATTGACCAAAGCTACCTTTGTATTCATTTTAATTTTATCATCATTCATGGTAATTAATTATTACAGTAATTAATATTTTCTATATTCCTTTTTACTAGTCACTTCATTTTTGAGGGGAAATTGTTTTAGCATTTCTCCTCAGACTTTCTTACAAGTAACATTACAATCTCAGTGAGTGAATCTTCTTCATATATTGTCAAAGCATTCTTGTCATTTCCCATAAAACTTTGTTGTGCATGGAATTTATACCTCTCTTTGCCATTGCTCTGAAGTCTGCAAGGTACAGATAACCTTCACAAATAGCAGTGAATTGCTACCCATTTTCCCTTCATAGTCTTCTATAAAACAGAGAAACATTTGAGTTATCTGGTGTGCTTCAGGGTATTAACCCAAAACCCCCTATAATTAGGATAATGTTTATTAATGTGCCACTATTTGTAATTACTGGAAGGATCTGTGTAAATGGATTGTACTTCAGTACCTAGCAATGCTTCTTCCCACAGGTTGTGCATTCCAACTTTTGTATCTTTAAGGTGTTCTTTGAGCCTGTTTTCTGACAGTTTTCCATATATGTTTAAGTCAGGATAGACAGTTGGGACAATCTTATTTTCCCTTTATTTTCTCATAACTTGGAAATTAATAAAATACATACCTACCACTAATAAAATGCAAATGAAAGACATTCTTTTTGACAAAAGCAGTTTTAAGCATGTGCTTCTTATGGAGCATCATATGGAATTGTTGCCAATTTTTATCCTATAGATACTTTTGCAGCAATGACCAGCTTGTGGCCCTCCAAATGTTTTGGCCTTCTGTGATCCCTAAGCACCAGTTGCACTGGTGAAAGCTTATGGGAGTTTTAAGCCAACTTTTTGCTTCTGGAATAGCAGAAATGTACAGCAACTTTCATGTGTAGATGCAGAAAATCACTGCATATTCTGCCATCATATTAGACTACATCAGATTGCACATTCATGAATGGTTAACATTTCAAAGTTACAGATATGTGTATTTATGAAGTTTCCCAATACACATTCTATTACATTGAAGAGGACGAGATAGGAGAACTTATTTTATGTGTTGCCTTTCACCCATCTAACAATTGCTGCCTTTTTTTCAAACCATCTATTGCACATCTTCCATTTATTGTATCATTTATCGCATCTTTGTGCAATTGGCATTTGCTCCCATGAGAACTGTTGGCTGCTCTGATGTGTTCTGGTGCTTCTCTGTCTCATGGCTGCAGGTGCTGTTCTTCAGAGATCTGTTTACACATTAGGTTTACAGAACTATATACCACAATAGCCTCACTGAAGGACAGAGAAAGGCCATGTCCCATATATGTATGAGGATATATGTAGGCCACTACATTGGGACACAAGAATGATATACTCTGAACTTCTGTGTTGAAGTGACAGGCTTGGCATCGGGAAACTATGAACAGGTTCTTGTATTACTCTCAACATCTTTTCAAGAACTAGCACATCATATGCCCCCTAACCTTCTTCATAGCTCGTTGCTGATACAAATTTATTTCTTTGATGAGAGTTTAAGTTTGTATTAAGTTTGAGATCTAGTGTGGTTTAGTGATTAGTGTTGGACTGGGACTGGGAAGACTTGGGTTCAAGTCACTGGGTGACTTTCAGCCAGTCACTAACTCTCAGCCTAACCTACCGCACAGGATTGTTGTTGTGAGGATCCTTGATGGAGAGGAGGAGGATTGTGTACCCTGCCTTTGGCTCCTTGGTGGAAAAGACAGGAAAGAAATATAACAAACATAGATCTCAACTTCTGCTATGTTTCCTCTTAAGAACAGGAGCTAGTTGCATTTTTAACTCTTTCTTTCTTTCTGCCTCTTCTCCTATAGTCAATTTTGTTGTCAGCCTCAATCAAGCGGGAAGGAGATTCTCCAACAGCATCACCTCACTCCTCAGATGATATCCATCATTCAGACAGATACCAGGTGAGAGAGCTACCAGGAGGACTCAGCTGATGGCTGGATGCCAAGATCTACTAAGTGGCGCTACCAGTTCTTTCAGTGACACTATCTAAGCCCTAAACATCCTCAACACCACATGTAATTAAGGGGTTACACTGTCCCACTTGTTTAATGCATATATCTCTGCACCCTGAAAACCTTGGCTAAAAATACTGTAAAGTATTCATATTAATATTAATGCTTACAGTTTTCAAATACTCTTAACAGGACTGTACCCAATTTAGCTGTCTAGTTCCTAAAATTTCTTGGTACTTAGCACCATTTGAAGATAATGGGGTTAAAACGGATGTTGTACTAGCTGAAGTCTGCTAGCAACATTGCACTTTCTTTCATTCTCCTCCTTCCTACAGCCCTTGCTACTGCCCGAAAAGCTGTTTTGGAGGATTTCGTAGCTCTCTGGAGCAGATTTTAAGAGGGCATCAGCAAGGGGTATTTTTTTCACTCCCAGTCCTGCTGATGGAACTGCTTCTTTCAGTGGAATAACCATGTGGGATTCAACCCACAGCTCTGATTGCTGAAAACAGAAATACCTGTTTTTTTCCTTTCTGTTTGTTAAAGACTGTTATTGAAGAACTGTATAATTGACATAAATGTGAACTATAATACAAATTTCAAGTGGATGGACATGAAGACTCCACAATTTGCCCCATTTATTTATTTATTTATTTATTTATTTATTTAGCTAGCTAGCTAGCTAGCAAGCAAGCAAGCAAGCACTTTTATATCTGGTCTCATAGCCAACAACTCTCTAGCTGGTTTACATAATAAAATTAGCTAGAAAGAAGTCACCACTTACGAGGACTTAATTCTGAAAAGAACATGTACTGCAGCACTTCAAAGAAAATATAATTTCCAAGTTTAAAGACGCTTTTGCATATAGGGCAGGGTATAAATATTTTAAATGAATAATGTAGTCAGTAGTAGCATTGTCAGTTACAAGTAATCATTTATTAGGATGTGGAAAACACAGTAACGTAATAGGTTCATTGTTCCTCAGTGTTCAAAGACAATAGATTCTCATTGTATAACTTAACTGTTGCATTTTGTGTGCCAGGACGTTTTGTAAATTAATCTTAGAAATTGTGGAAAGCTACCCAAGACCTCTATGTGTATGTGAGTCTTAGTGCACTAGCTGGAAAGCAGCAAATGCATAGCTGTGCAAATAAACCAACAGCAGTAGGATGGTTGAATTTTCTGTGTCTCTTGTATGACTAATATATCTAGTATTGTTTGTCTTATAGTGCCTGCCACAGACAGACCTGGATTGATTATATACAGTAGTTCAGATTGTTAGATCTATGTCCTCATACTATACTTGTTTGTTAGCTAATGCTCTCAAAACTGCACATTGCTGAGATTTTTAGAAAGCAAACATTTATTTGGGGTTATTCTGAAAGGAATTTCATAAAACTTGACCTCTACCCTGCTATCAATGGAGAGTAAAGCTCACCTTTCAGGTGAATGGACACTGCTGTGTGGTCTGCAGCATGCTTGTAAATGACTACCACATGGTGAACAATTATCCATCTTTTCTAAAACTTTCACAGATCTGTTTTGGTTTGGTTTAGTTTATTAAATTTATTTATTGCTTCACATATAGGAGGAGAAACTAAAGACTCCACAACTAGTTGACCATACTGTGCCCTGAATGTTAGGCTCTGTTTATGACACAGATGTGTTTTGAAGTGCTGTGGCAAAGTTATAGAGAAATATTCATGACTGGTATTATTTGCAGCAGAGACCCTCTCAGATCTGTGTTCAGAAACTTAATTTCTGTCTACTTTTTAAACCGACACTGAAAAGGAACCGTTTTTTCCCCAAATAGAACCATTGGGAATTCAAGATAGATAAACTAAACACTTCTGACTTAAATGTATTGTAAAAATACAGCCACATGCAGTCTTCCCAAAAAAAGTGTTAATAGTTTTATTTAGTCCAGATTATCATTCAGTGCTCAAAATCAGTTTCTAGATCTTTTCCATTTTCGGATTTGGCACTAAATAAAATATTGTTCTGCTTTTTTTACAGAACAGGGGAGCATGTTTTAAGTAACATAATGTTACCCCACATGTATTTGATTTAAACTAGAGTTTTAGAAAGGCTAATACAAAATTCATTGTGAAATTATGGAAAAAAGAAAGGTAACAGGACTGTTACAATCGAATTCTTCCCCTCTATATTTGCAGCTCCAACTCAGGAGCCTTATATCGCTTCCAGAGAGGGCAAATGAAACTGACAGTTTTTGTGAGTGATCAAGTTGAGTGAAATGAGGCGGGTGGTTGAGTAGAAGGGGTGAAGGCAAGCAGAAATGCAGGTAGGTAAATGAGATGTTTGAACTTGGTTTGGCTGCATTAATCTGACATCTTTTGAATAACACAAGGAGACCATCATGGCTTTTTGAAAATGGAATTTTTACTCTATGTCTTTCTTCCCAGGCTTTTGAATTTGGATAGGATTAATGACATGACTGTTTCTTGATAGAAAGAAATGTGCCACTTAAAAGAGTTGTTAGCATCTATTTCTTTAACACAGAAAATCAATTTAGGTCAGATCCTAGAAAATATAGAGCACGCCTATCTCTCACTATAATAAATTTGAAATGGAGATGTTAAGCACTAAACAGAGTCTGGTTCCAATATTCCAGACTAGCGTTTCCAGACTACAGTAAGTAGAGTGGAGCTGCTTGGTAAGAGTGCAATTTGCTTGAAGAAAAATCCATTAAAAATCAGATTTCACCAGTGAATTGGGAGATGGAGTCCAGTTACACCTTGCCTTTGGCAGAATCAGTAAGCTATGGCTTCTTATGAAAATGTGCTAGCACACTTTTGCTCCAGTTTCTACAGATATTACCAATATCCACAATACTAATCTAGCCATTATCTCCTGTTTATTAACAGCAACTTATTTCTGCCTTGATACATGTAGATAAAATACATATCTTTGTTGGTTAGCTTTTATATCCTCTGATCTTCAGATCTTCCAAAAATTCAAAAGTCACACATTTTTGCAAAATGTACTTAGGCAGTGGAGAGTGAAGGAATTCCCTGTTGTACTTCCTAAACTCTGAGATATGTTACAGACTTTTGCACCCAGAAAGACAAACTAGTACGTTGTGATATGCTCTGTTCTTGCTAGAGTCACTGAGGGATAGCCCATTGGCAACTCAAGTGCATCAAATAATGTGGATAAAGCTTCTAAACAAGAGGCTCAGTGTACTAGAACGAAGCTGCCAGCCGAGACTGCTTGAAACAAGAATTACCTTTTCTTTCCTCTCTTCTTGAAAGCTTGATAATAAGTGTATTACTACTGTTTTAACTAAAGAACTAATGTATTAACATTTCTGAAATGTCAAGCATTTCATTCATACATCCATTTGAATGAAGTATGCACCTTAAAATCATGTGCGTCTACCTACCTTAAAATAAGTATAGAACTGGCATACAGTGGCTCCAATTAGAAAAACTAATGGAGACCAGAAATGTAAAATACTTATTTTCTTCCTCTTTCAAAACCATAATTCCTACTTGTATATCTGTCTTAACTCTTACTTGCAGTTGGTTCCAGTAAATGTAAATGAGAGCAGAATCAGCACTATATGCTCACTTGAAATGAACCACACAACTAAGGGGGCAATCCTGTGCATTTTGGACTTTTTTCTAAGCATGCATAAGATTATGCCTTAAGGTAATTTCCTCTTCATTAAAATCCTCTGTATGTGAGGAACTTTTACCTTCAACAGTAGGGATAAAAAGGATTTGAAAAACAAAATGTATGAAAAAATAGCAAAGCAGACCCAGGGTGCAGACCTGACTCGACTTTCATTCCTTAAATTATGTCTTTTTCTTTCTAAGAAAACGGTAAAGTATTGGGGAAGCCCAGCATATTGAAATAATTCAAAGGTTAAGAAAAAAACATTTGAAAAGGCTCAAGGTTTTTAAAGGTTTTGTGGGCTTTAGCAATTTAGGCCTCAAGCCTGCAACACTGTCACACATGTTTGGCTTTAAACACTTGGATAGTCTTGATGGCTTCAGCAGGATTGCTAATGGGATCAAAGTGAATCACTTCCCTGAAGTGTTTGCAGGATATGGACCCTGGTCAGTGAGATGAAGGTGATTCTATAGATTTATCCTTCTTGTAATCACTGACTGTGACTTCAAAGTCCTAAAACAATAAAATAATGACTATTTTGTCCACTAACATTTTGTATTTGGTATTTTGTATTGTCCTTATAGAGAGTTCCAGTTCACTAGGAGTTGAATACTCTCTCTGACCTTGACAGGAATTGTTATGTATAAGTTTATAAGACATGAACACACATACTTAGTGATCAGTGTTTAAGCTCCATTTTATAGAGATATTTATACCACACTTCAGAAAAAGTCAGTTATTTATTTCTATTTTATAGAAACTGACAACATGGTCAGAACAATTCACTGAATGCTATTTTTAGTGTGCAGAGATATTTAACATTTCCTATTAAAGAGGTATGTCTCTGAATCTCTGCTGATAACAATGGTTCATCAAATAGGTTATGTCTATACAGTTGCAACTTGTACATGAGATTTTACTATCTTGTTTGCCAATGGAGTGCCCATTCTCTCTGATTAACTTTTTCACAACTATTATTCTAGAAATGAAAGTTAATTACTTAAAACTCAATGCTAAAGGCTTACAACTCTCATCATGCCCCAGCCAGCCATCTTGTAATGAAATTATTTGTATAAATAAGACTGGGAAGTTGTCAGTTTAGTCTTGCAGGGTACACCAAAAAGACAGCTAACCTTTAGTTAAAAGCTGGGCTGAGCGTGAGGATCTCCCAGATTCAGGCCTTGAATGGACTTTTTGTTTCTTTCCTAGTTGTGTAACACTGTCCCGGAAACATAGTTCTGATTTTTCACTACCACATCTGCTAAATAATTGACTCTGTTGTCTTTTGTGGAAACCGTGAGTGTACCTTTAAAAAAAGGGTATTAGTGTGACCTGCTAGAATGGCTATTTCTGTAAGACTCTCAATTTCTTTCTCTGCATCTACAAATTAAATATCTGACCAAGAAGCAGACACACTGAGAGCCAATGTGGTGTAGTGGATAAGAGCATGGGACTGAGACCCTGGTGATCTAGGTTCTAGTCCCTACACAGCCATGGAGCCAACTGGGTGTCTCTGGGCCAGTCACAGATTCTCAGTCCAGCCTACCTCACAGGGTTTTTGTGGGGTAAGATTGAGAGCAGCAGAATGATGTAAGGCACTTTGTAAAAAAAAGTGAGATATAATTCTAATAAACATCTTGTCTATAGTTGCTAGTTAGTGTAATTGAACATAACATGGTGAACAGTTTGCCATTTAATACATTGCAGCTGAATTTGAATTTTTGATACTGTGCTTTAATACAATGATGCTTGTTTGGATCAGTGCAGGGACAGGCTGTTGCATTCAACAGTACAATGTATAGCACAGCCTGAAAGGAAGACTTTTTACAACGTGTAAAGGGGAGAGGCTCTGACAGTCACACTCAGTATGAGAGTAGGGATGATGCAAACAACTATGTGCCTGCTTTAATCTCGAAATGTCGGTTGACTTCACTAACTAAAAGGGGGAAGAATTTCATCAGGACCAGCTGTTATCCCTCACAGTGACAAAAGAATTAGTACCAGGTGCATTTGTTTTTCCCTGCCCGTCCTCAGAGTACAGCGTCCTTTCGTGGTGTGGAACCTTGGAAGAGGGGGATGGGCTGATTTCTGTGGTGATGCTTTTTTAACGTGGAGGCAGCTAAATTTCTGGAACCCGGGCTGTAGTTACTTCGGAAGAGGTCAAGGAAATAGCATTAAGCAGGCATTAAGGTCGTATTAACAGTGTTCGGGAAAACAGCATTGTAGCCAGAGGATCTCCGTGACAGACCGTTTTCGGCCTGCCGGTTGCCATGAGAACAACTTCCGCTGAACTCTCACCCGGCGCAGGCCGTGCGACGGCTGGTCACATGATCGCAGCTAATATGGCGGCCACCGCTCTTGCGGGGAGCTGATTGCAGGGGCCGGGGCCGTTGCCCGCATCCGCCCTCATCCCCGGCCATGCAGAGCGAGAGGAGGGAGCCCGGTGGCCGGGAGGAGGTGCAGGCAGGGCGCGTCTGAAGGGCCGTAGCCGGTTAAGGCTTAGGGAGGGATTGCGGCTTGTTTACATCTGAACGGCGGTTGGGCCATCAACCCTGAGGGTGGGAGTGGTCTGTTTACATCTGTAGGACAAACTTGGAGGGAGATATTTTCATATGCAGAGGGAGCAGGTCCCGATGGGGTCTGGGTAGAACCGGTTTGGCAAGGAGCCCGGGAGAGAAAAAAGAAGAGGGGGGTTGTAGGGGGGTTAACAGCTAGAAAGGTACCGCGAAATAGCTATGCTTGTTCTTTTTGGGGAAATTAGTTTACAGTTAATACTAGAACTAAATATAGGTTAGCAGAATTATAGTTGTTGTAAGTGGGGGGTTATGGAGATACAGAAGTGCTGTGGAGCCTACCAAGCAATTGAGAGTAAAAGACAATGTGAGTTTGTTTTGATTGTGGAAGTTGTATGCGGATATTTAATTTTGTTGTAACCTAGAAGTGGAGGTGGATCTCTGTAGTGCATGAAAGTTGTGAATGTGTGTTTTTCAATTAGTTTATTTTCCTATTATTTTTTCTCATAACGGGTTACATTGTAGTTCTCTCACCAACAGAACCCTAATGCCTTTTTGCCCTTGTGTCTTCTTTTTACAGACCTTCCTGCGAGTTAGGGCAAACAGACAAACCCGGCTGAATGGTGAGTGTGACAGGAACCTTGTGCTATCTTTTCTCTCTGTTCTAATCACGTGCAATATCAGAATCTAATGGACTTAATCTTTACAAGGCTAAATGTACCCCAAAGTTCTTATGCTTTACTCATATCACTTGTAGCCCTAACCGCTTCTGCTCCTGTTTGATTCCTGTCCAGGTTGTTGACAACTTTACTTCCATGTGGAATCATTGTTATTTTAAAGAAGGTATTATCAGTGACAAATAGAAGAGAGCTCACATTTTTATTCAGTTTTCTTGTAGCTCTCAGGTCTCTTTGCTTATTGTTTCTCAACTGGTGGCTATCTAGTTTGCTTATATGTTAGAAAACACATAGTACTGTTTTAATTTATTATGACATTTTTGTTACAATGTATTAATTTTATCCTTTAGTTAAACTTTTTTTAAAAAATAACATGCCTTTTGGAATAATGTGTAATCAAAGTCTTAATACCTTACTTGGTTAGATCATTTGCAATGTTGAGCTGGGCCTGGATATGACATCTGTGTCTGTGTAATAGTAATCTTTGATGTTTTAATTACTATGCATTAGTTAGTTCTTCAAATATTGTCACTAAGCAGGAATAGTTTTGTTAAGTTGATATAGAAGGTCTTTATTTTCACTAACTCCACTATCACTCTCAGTACATAGTAATAACATGCATTTTACTGTGTTTAATTCAGTCAGAGGTAAAGACAATGAAAACGTAGGCCTTCAAAGTCCACAGCAACTGTAAATTATCCTGACATTGCAAAGGGAATGGAACTTTTCATGTTTAAATGCCAAAAAGCTCCAGGGGAGTAAGATCTATGTTGGTTCTACTCACTGTTTTGGTTGCAAGGCAGAACACCTGAATTAAGATTAATGAGGACTCTGCACAGCATAGTGAATATGTGTGATCTGCCTTTTGCAAACCGAAATCTCAGTAGTCTTTCTACCACTGAATAATTCTAGCATATGATTAATGAATACTAGGGCAGCATTACATCCATTGATCATCTCACAAATATTCCCTTGGGGCATTTGGAACTATTATTGGAAATGCTTATTACAGAAATACTAATATTTTTACAAGAGCTTAAGAAGCACATAATGGTTTCTAGAAGCAGACCAGTTATTTCCTAATATATTGCTTATTAGACACATTCAGACACAATACTAAACTACAATTTAGTGTTGCAAGAATGATCTTTGTGAACCTGAGGCATTTGTGTTCAACCCTGTCCAGTGTGCGAGAGGAGATTGGAAAGTTTCAGATTAACTTAAATTCTGCGTCCAAAGCCTGCACTGTGATTGGTTGAAGCAAACCAGTGTTATAAACAATTTGTTGCTAGTTTGTTTCATTAACCATAGGTAATATTAACCTCATTTTGTTTGGGTTCAGGTAGCATTATGAGCGGCTATTAATCTAAAACAGAAGTGAAAACTTTGGAATGCTTGAGGGCTAGGAATAAGGATGAAGTGGTGTAGACAAGCCCATGACTTGATGGAGCTCATTCTCCTAACATTACAGTTATGGTTTAGAATTATGTCCCAACCAATTCATTATTCCAGATAGATCGCTGTATGTATTTAATGTTCCAACAGAATGTGATCATGCGTTCTTTTTACAATCCTCTTTAGCTACTCTTTGGTGATCCTATATTTTATGACACATAACAATTCATTTAGGGTTATTATCATCATCATTATTAATAATAATTTTAGAGTAAGTATTCAAGAATCAGTGGCTAGAGCTTTTAAGGCAGAATGGGACTTGAGTGTTACATTGTACTGTGCTGTACTATTAATTGGCTCACATTCCTCCCCTCCCTACTAACATGTTTCTGTTTATCCAGTCACCATGTGCCCTAAATATCCTTTAAAGACATAGGTTAACAACAACACGTCAATCAAGCAGAGCTGGCTTGGCCATAATCTGAGATGGGAGCTATCATGGATCTCTGTTTCAGAGGCTCAGAATTTGAACAGTTCAGATTCCTTAAGCTGAAGATTATTTTACTTTACTAACAATATAATATGCTCTCTTCTTTTTCCCCATTTCCCCCCTTTTCTGTTTTTAGTTATTCTGTTAACATTCATATATTAGTGCTACTATGCTCCCCCCCCCCCCCCCCATTTAGATGACTGAAGTAATTATTTACTCCTGAATTTATTTTTAGGAAGAGCAACTTGAATTTTTTTTTACATACATATAAATAATATATATGATGTTTACTGCCTGGTTTCATAGATCCTCAAGGGTAGATCATAATATAACAGGTAAATAAGCCTTACTTTCCACTCCCGCATCTAAAACTATTTCCAAAATCATCTTTTCTTGATAGCCTTTTGCAGAGAATTATGCAAAAGCTCTTTGAAGATCCATGTGCAGAATTACTTGGTGTTTTAACTATTTTGATGTCACGGAATAAATTCTAAAAGATAGGCAGCAATTTCTCTTTGCAGGTAATGATTTTCAGAAAAGGGTAAAGTTGGGAGACGTACACTTCCAGGGACATGAAAGGCTGCTGTAAATAGTGGTAGTAGCATACAGCAGAAGAGAAATGGTGTCAGTTTCAGGAAGAAAGCTGTAAGATTAGGACATTTGTTTAACAAAGGGACTGTACAGTAGAAAGAGTTGCCTCAGAAGTTAGTAGAATAATGAGTAGGTGTTACAAAAATGGGTGAAACAAACATGTTACATGTACAAAATTACTCCTGCTTGGGAGAAGGAAATAAATTGGCTAGCTATTGCCGTCTACATATTTCATATGACTATGTTTGTGCTTTTATTTCAATTTCTATTTTCTGTTAGTGGGTTCAGAAGTTATGTTTGACCAGGGAAGCCCAGTTGTTTGTTAAAGTATTCTTATTCTAGGGAGCCCTGGCAGCCTTCTCAGTGAACAGAATCTGTCCTTGCTGCAGGATTTTTAAAAAGTGACTGATTTCTCTTAAATAATTTCTGTCAGACTGTGGATTCCTTTTTCTATGTAGCTGTGAGAAGCTCCTGTTACAAGAGAATGATAGCCTTTCAACAGTAAGGTTTCGATCCTGTGTGTCTTTTGACTAAAAGCACTCCTACAACTCCCCAATCCCGTCAGCCAGCCATGCAGAGTAGGACATGATGGTAATTATGATTTTTCCAGTATAAATATGCATAGGATTGCATTTTAAGCTTGCCACAAGTGGGACTTGCAACTAAGTGTTTGTGAGCAGTATTTATGTTCACATAGCCAGGTTCCAGCTAGTCATGCCCTCTTTCAGGATACTTTAGTAGAGTTGGAAGGGGTCTATAAGGCAGTCTAGTTCAATTCCCTGCTGAATGCAGGACTCCAGTTAAAGTATCCCTGAAAGATGGTGTTCCAACTGCTTCTTGAATGCCTATAACGTGGGAGAGCCTGTAACCTTCCTAGTTAATTGGTTTGCTTGCCATACTGCTGTAACAGGAAGTTTATCTTGATGTCCAGCTGGAATCAAGTTTCCTATAATATGAATCCATTATTACATGTCCTGTACTCTGGTATCATCAGGAAGAGAGGCTGGCCTTCCTTGGCTTAAGAATCTTTCAAGTACTTGAACTTGCTATCATATCTCACTTCAGTCTTCTCAAGGCTAAACATGCCCAATTTTTTCAGTCTCTCCTAATAAGGCTTTGTTTCCAGTCCTCTTGATAATCTTTGTTTTCTTTCTCTAAAGCTTTTCTAGTTTCTCTACATCTTGCTTAAACTGTGGTGCTCAAAACCTCAAGGAGAAGCCTAACCAGCGCTGATTAGAAGAGGAGCTAGTACTTCATGTAATTTGGAAGTGGATATTAGCTGTCCACCCAGTGTCATCTACAGATTTAATCAGCATTCCCTCACCAGCTCATACAAGCAATTAATAAAAATGTTGAGTACTGGCCACAGGACTGAGCCCTGCATTGCCCCATTTATGATCATTCCCGAGTCTGAGAAGGAGCTATTGAGAAGCATGCTTTCAGTATGATTCTGTAGCCAACAATGGATCCAAATGATAGTTGTTCCATCAAGCTCACTTTTAGCTGGTTTGTTAATCAGAATGTCATGAAGCACTTGGTCAAAGGCTTGATTGAGGTCAAGATATATCATGTCCAGAGCATTCCCACAGTTCACAAAGGAGGTTTTGTTGTCACATTGTGTCAAGTTTTCTCTGATTCATGGCAACTATGAATAAAAGCCCTCCAGAATGTCCTAGGTCATAGTCCTGCTTTATGGGAGAAGACTGGACCAAAGTAGAAATTGAACACTTCGACCTTTTCTGTGTCACCTATTAGAAATTTGCCCTTCTCATTGAGAAGTCAAACCACCATTTCTTTACTGCCTGTTACTATACACATACTGGGGGAAAGCTTTTGGTTTGCTTTTAGTATCCCTCATTGGCTTCAGCTTGTTTTGAGTTTTAACCTTCCTGTTTTTATTCCTATACTTCTGTGCTACCTGTCTGTGCTCTTCCTTTGTAACCTGCCCTTTGTTCCAGTTCCTATACATGTCCTTTTTTGTTTTTGAAACTCTTTGTGGAGCCACATTAGTTTCTTACGTTGTCTCCTATTTTTTGTTTTTGTTAGAATTGTGTGTAATTGTGCCTTTAATTTTTATTTTAAATACCTACACATTTTGGATTCCTTTGCTTCTTAAGGTCACTTGCCTTAAGGACAATAAACCATTGTCCTGAGTTTATTAAAATCAGTTTTCCCAAAATTCAGAGTACACATATGCCTGTACTTCATGTTTTCTTCCTTTAAAATCAAAACCTCAAATACACTGAGGTCACTTTCCCCCAGAGTTCTCACAACCTCCACTTATCCACTAAATCTTCTCTGTTAATACTAAGTTGAAGCTAGAAGGACCTCTACTCCTTTCCTTTACTTTCTGTAGAAGAAAGTTACCAGCCATGCATATCAAGAATTTCTTGGAAGAGCCACTTTTGGCAGAATTTCATTCTAGAGTATTTTCTTTCCTTTTCTATTCCTCTTCCAAGAATTGGGAGGA